CACGTCCATATGCTACAGCATTAGTCTGAAATCTTCTATTTGTTTGAGTATATCCACCGCGTATGCCACGACCACCTCGAGTGTTGAATCCACCTCGGGTGTTGAAACCTCCTCTATATCCACCATGATTTCCTCTGCCACGTCCATAGCTACTGCTACTGGCTTGATTTACATCAAGGGATAACTTGCTTTGCAAAGCTTGCTCCAATTTGCTAGAACCTTCATTAAGATTCATTCTTTGCTCGTGAGCTTGAAGAGAACCCACAAGTTCATCAATAGATATAACTGACAAGTCTTTGGCTTCTTCAATGGCAGTGACAATATAATCGAACTTTCTTGTTAGGGACCGCAGAATTTTCTCCATTACTCTGACATCATCTAAAGTCTCTCCATTTCTTTTCATCTCTTTCGCCACCTTTTGCACTCGTGAGGAATAATCTGTAACTGGCTCTGCATTCTGCATTTTTAAGTTTTCAAACTCAGCTCTTAGTGATTGGAGTCGTACCTTTTTAGCTTTGTCAACTCCCTGGAAAGACTTCTGTAAAATCTCCCATGCTTCCTTGGATGATTTTGCATCTGATATTTTCTCAAAGGTTGATTCATCAACACCTTGAAAAATTAAGAAAAGAGCCTTTTTGTCCTTCTTTCGTGAATCTTTAAGTATCTTTCTCTGAGCATCTGATAAAACTGCTTCTGCAGCTGCATTGGCGGGCTCCATGTATCCATCCTCAACAAGGTCCTAGATATTTTGGGAACCTAGCAACGTCTTCATCTGAATGCTCCAATTCCCATAATTATTCTTTGACAATTTTGGAATCTGTGATTGCATCATCTCCGTCATCTTTGATCGAACGTGGCTCTGATACCACTTGGTGGAAATTTAGAGAAAATAAAAAAGAATAATAGATGAAGAAATCTCTTTGTATTGAATTTTGTCTAAAGAAAAAAAAAATACAACACACACAGTGTCACTCTTTCTTTTTCTTAGTGTTGTGGCACTTCTTTCTTTCTACCTTCCTTCACTTTTTTTTTTCTAATACATATTACAAACACATAACCTATATCAGTATTTATATAACTCAGCTATCGAAAATGTTGCTTCTCAATCACCGCCTAACCGACACCCATTAACCGATCCTAATTGTTTTTGATAAATATCCATACAAGGACAGCTAATTAAGCTACATGGCAGTGTACCCAAGTCTTAAAGAGTCTTCCACTTGAAACTTCAAGAAGTAGTCTGGCGGTGGAAAGCTTCTAATTGTATCTACTATCTTCCCATACTTTCTAGTTTGACGGTGGATAAAAGATAAAGTTGCAAAGTTGAATTTTTATTTCTAACAGATCCAACTCAATGTCTGCACGAGTAAAATGTGCTATAATGATTGGTGGTTTAAACGATTGTGGTGGGGCCTTATAGTAAAGCATTACAATTGGAATTTCACTCCGAACACGTTCTAATTTGATTTGTGCTGCGACTTCAGACTCCAATTTTGTGTAGAACTCTTCAGGAAGAAAGGTCAATGTTGTGCTTGAGTCAATTATGATGTTACCTTCGTTACTACCGTATGAGGTTAAATCAACTACAAATTCTAGCTAGCCTTTTGTCCCCCACACTCATTCCCTCCAATTTAAGGTAATAAAAAGCAGGAGCATCACCAGATGCAATGGGAGTGGAGACTGTCTCAAAACCAGACATGTCCCACAGCTTTTTCTCCAAAATTTAATTTACTCGTGTGTTTGGATTCAAAGAATGGCACCAAGCAGTAGGAGAATTTGAAATCAATGGAAGGACCTATTTGGGAGATGAGTGAGACATTACCACGACCTAGGCGAGGCCAACTATGCCAGAACCAGAACTAGAACCGTTGTTAATAGAGGTATCAGAATTGTTGAAGATAACCTGTTGTAGAGTCTAAGGTGAGTGTGTCAAAGGCTAGATCTCCAAGTGAATATGACCCATCCCCATATGAGATATTGTACTTGCAATTGGAATCGGGATTTGAGTCACAAGGGTTATAAACTAATGATTGACATACCCCACAAGAGCAAGGAATGTTTTTGTATGTTTTGGATTTGGAAGGATCGAACATTGGAGTAGTTTGGTTGAAACACTCGACACAAGGCTTGCATTGAGACCAAACGAGGTCACTGCCTGTATCTAAAGTGCCCATGATTTCGAAAGGTGGCGTTCCAATGGAATACTTCAGGAGGTATTCTCCTTCAATGTAGGTTATTTCAGATTGCGGTGCATTTAGGAGAACGTTTGCTTGTGGGTAGAAATAATTGAGACGTTTGAAAGAACGTTCAAAGGCATTGATAATTTGCTGATAAGGAGTTTCAATTGGGTTGTATAATGGAGATTTTGCAGAATCTCTGTGAATGAGTTCCACACTGAAGCCACCATATTGAGTGCCTCAGTGAGGGGCATTCCATAAAAATATATGATTGATGATGTGACTTGCTGGAAGAGAAGGAGAAGATAAGAATAAACTGCCATGTTGAGGGTTGAATGAAACAACGTACAATGGATAAAATGGGAGGTTTTATTTAGCACTCCAGTAGTGGGAGAAGAGTGTTAATTTCAAGGTTTGTAATTAAGCGAGGAGTAATTTTTCCTTTCCAATTTCATATCCCATGATTTTGCTTCTGAATAAAATAATGTTTGCATTTCAATGCATGGAGGGGGTTGGTGGAATGCATATTCAATAATTTTTTGATCCAGTACAATGTTAAAAGCAAATAGCTCCTTTTCAAAAATAATAATAATCATGTATAATTTTATTTTGAAATAAAAATATTTTTAATACAGATCAACTATATTATCATTTAATTTTTGTGTCGACATCATTTATTCAGTTTGATTATCTTAACAACTAAGTAATATTTCAAACTCATTATATGACATCACATTACACCATCAAATACAATCATAAACTTTTTACATTAAATCATTTTTAGTACAGGTCAGATACACTATGGTGTGTTCATAGACCTTGAGAAAACATACGATAGGGTTCTAAGAAAAGTTTTATGGTGGGTTCTGGAGAAGAAAAAGGTACCATCAAAGTATGTAAAGGCAATCAAGAATATGTATGATGTGGCTACTACATGTGTGAAAGCTTGTAACGGAACATCAAGTTATTTCCCTATCACGGTAGGTGTACACTAAGGGTCGGCTCTAAGTCCTTATCTCTTTACCTTAGTTATGGATAAACTAACAAAAGATATTCAAGAGGAAGTGCCATGGTGTATGCTTTTTGCAGACGATATTGTGCTTATTGATGAGAGCAAAGATGGTGTTAATAGAAAACTTGAATTGTGGATAAGCACATTGGAATCTAAAGGATTCACATTAAGTCGAAGCAAGACTGAGTATTTGAAGTGTGAGTTTTCTCTGGTAAGAGATGTAGACCAAGATCCCGTGCATCTAAGTGATCAAGAGGTACCCAAGAAAGACGTTTTTAAATACGTGGGCTCCATTTTGCAAAAAGGTGGAGAGATTGATGAGGATGTAAATCATAGAATCAAAGCAGGGTGGATGAAATGACGCAGTGCATCTGGGTTTTTGTGTGAGCGCAAAATCCCCTTAAGTGAAAAGGAAAATTCTATAAAACAACAATAAGACCTGCAATGCTATATGGAGCTGAATGCTGGCCAGCACATAGGCAACATGAGCATAAAATGAGAGTAGCAGAGATGAGGATGTTAAGGTGGATGTGTGGTTATACGAGGATGGATAAGATAAGAAATAAAGATATTCGACGAAAGGTAGGAGTACTACTGGTGGCTGAGAAGATGAGAGAACATAGATTGAGGTGGTTTGGGCACGTAATGAGAAAGTCCCTGGATGCTCCCGTAAGAACAAAAGTTTGTTACCAAGAGCTAAATACAAAAAAAGGTAGAGGAAGACCAAAACTTACTTGGGGGAAGGTAGTAAAACAAGATTTAGTAGAGTGAGATATAGATTGGCGGACAGTATGTCTTTGAACGGAATGGAGAAAAGCTATAAGCATGGTAGAGGGTTAGACCCGTTGTTATTCTTATATTCCAGATGGTCTCTTTTTAGTCTTTTTCCCCTTTTCTTCTTTTCCCTTTCTTTTTTACTTTTATTTATATATATATACATATATATTTTTATTACTATTCTATTTATTTATTTTTATTTTTACTTTTATATTTCTTTTTCAACTTTTTTGTATCTTTCATTTGGGTTTATCTACCACCGATCCTAATTAATTTGGGATAAATGTGTTGTTGATGTTAATGTTGATGTTGATGTTGATGTTGTCAGATACACTATCATTATATTTTGTATTGATATATCATTTAATAAGTTTGATATGTTAACAAATGAATAGAATTTCAAACTCATTCATTGATTTCACACCACATCATTATATACAGTTTAAATTTTTCAATATTAAAATACATCAATATTAAATTATTTTTAATATAAGTCAACTACACAATTACAATTATTATTTTTAAAAATCAAAGGAGCTAATCCCAATGAAAGAGAAAGAATAACAAAAGCAAGAAATGGCTAAGAAAGGTCAAGCCAACCTAGTGCGTTGAGGCCCTCCATTGGAAGAGTGATGGGCTTCGCTTGACTACTCCCCAGTCGCGAGCTCGACATATTCTTCCTTTCAAGTAGGCAGCAGGGACCAGCCCTATACGAGCTCCCCACGCGTGGTGCCCCGCGGTGGCACCACCACCTGCACGTTGCCCCATACAACTTCGTGAGGACAATACAAAAAAAAATGATTAGTGGAGGTTATTTATTGTAGGTCAAAAAAACCTTCACTAAATAATATAATTTTTGACAGGTTTAAGACCTCCACAATTTATTTTTGTTTTTTTACTTAATGTTATTTTATCTCTTTTTAATAAATGTTAGTGACGTGTGACATTATCAATTAATATGCTCTAAAAAAATTTAAAATACAAAATTTTGTTATGCAATAAAAAAGAGTAGCATTCCCGAACGCCACAAAACCTTTTCTCTCGCTCTTTCCTCTTTCCAATTATGAGCCCTGTATCTTCGTTCTCAAATTCTCCAAAACCTTTTCTCTCGCTCTTTCCTCTTTCCAATTCTGAGCCCTCTATCTTCGTTCTCAAATTCTCGGTCTCAGACGCTATTCGTAACACACACTAGCCTTTTTAAATTTTGATTCCTTCATCTTTTTTTTCCTACTAGGATTCTAATTTCCTCATTCCTCTTTTTCTTTACTAGGGTTTGGATCTGTGTTTTGTTTGCCAAAATGGTGATCATGCCTCATTATCTCTCTTTCTCTCGCTTCTCTTCTCCGTCATTTGCATATTTGTTTGACCAATCGTGAGTAAGTTTGGGCTTTCAAAGTCTTTAATTGTTTGATTTAGATTTCGTTTTCAATTCCGATTGGGGAATTCATTTTCCTTTCCGCATCGCATGAATTTCGCATTCAGTTAGGGGCATCGCCATTTGAATGACATTTTTAGTTCATAATTTACATTCATTATATCGGGAGCAATGGTAGTAATAGTAAATATATTTTTGCAGTTGCAAGAGTTGAAGCAGTATGCATCAGGTAACTCAGATTAGCCTATACTTACCCCTGGAATGTCTGAGAAGCAGCCACTACATGTGGTTATGGTAACAATTATTGCAAAAAAATGTTCTGTTTGCTTGATAATTTTAATTATTAGCTTTTTAGTTTAGAGAATATTTTATTTGTTTGTTTGTGTTCAGAATCTAATTGAGTTGTTTCCTTCTTTACGTTGATCCAAAGGAATCAAATAAATCACATTTCTTAATAGATCCTCTCTCAGCTATTTTATTTACTGTTTCTATGGGATTGATTTGGTATGAACCTTTAGTTCCCTTCTCTTTCACTCTCTCTCTCTCTCTCCCTCTCTCCGTGCTCATACCTGAAAGCTTCATTTGTTATCTTACGAAATATATATGCCTTTCGGACTATGGGTGTTGTTGCACTTCAAAAATACATAGGAAGCTTGGGTGGGATTGGAACTTCAGGTATTGGCTCAGGTAATGACATCATGGTAAAACTTATTAACCATTATAGATATTCCTGATATTCATGGGCTTAAAACCTTGTCAAGTTTTGTTTGTTTTTGCATTGAGCATCCATTACTCATGAATTATATGTGTGATATCAATCTCCTTTTTATAAATTATTTGTATGAGGATTAGGTTTTCATCCCTGTGTATGAGCTGATATCATATTTATACTATCTCCATACGCAAATTGTCTTTATAGGAATAAACATGCTAGCGTTTGGTCACCAGGCTCACCACAATATTATGGATTCTTTTTAGTTGCTTTCATTGCCTGCTGCTATGCTGATGAACTTGCTTGTCTAATTATAAAATGCCATGCTTTTTGATGTGCATTGGAAATTAAGGATTTTCTTATCATCAAGTGAGCCTTGAACATTTTTTTTCCAACGGATTCTTTTAACAGGACCACCGGAAACTGGAAAAACTCTGCTAGCCAAGGACTGTGGTTTAACAATTTTCATATCAGAAGAGTAAAAAAAGTAAGTGTATACATGTTAGGAAATATGGTTTAGCAATTTAACTTATGGACTGTGGCATATATGATTAATGTATGGGTTTAAGTCACTACGGTTTTTTGTCATCTCGAATTTTTGTATATGAAACTTTTGTCGTACATTATTTTAAAATTCCATACTTGTCCATGTAGCTGTCATTTCATGTTATAAGGTTGTTTCCAAGTCTACTCATCACAATGAAAATCTGCAAAGTTGAAAATTCTGAGAACTGAACTCTGGGAAATTCCATCCACTCATGAAAAGACACTAATCTTTGATATATATATATATATATATATATATATATATATATATATATATTGTAGAAAATTAGAATTCAAACATGTTTCCATTTTTATTTCCTATTAATTAGGATTGATTATGATTGATTAGGATTGATTATGATTGATTAGGATTAATTGTGATTGATTAGAATTGATTGTGATTAGGATTGTGATAGGATTGATTAGTCATCGCTTAGTCATTCTTAACGATTCTTTCTTGTATAAATACTCACTCATGTAATTTATTCAATATCAATATACAAAAACTTCTTTTCAATATGGTATCAGAGCGGGTTCGTTCTTACCCTAATTCAAATCTGAAATAACCATCCAAACACTTCCATCACCGTCAAACACCTCCTAAACACCGCCTTGAATCTGTCCAACACAGAAACCTAGTTTACTGACCTCCGATCAAAAAAGTGAGGTGACCATTCGACTCAGAAGGATCCGACGAGTCGACCGCCGCTGGACCCATCGCCGTCAGCCGCTGCACGCGCCACCACGCGCCGCCTTCCAGACGTTTTTTTTCCGTCGCGACTTGCACAGACCTTCTCGCCGGCTTCTCCCCTTCCTGTTCCAGAGGTCAGATCAAAAGTTTACAAAACTTGATTTTTCATCAACGGTCAACCCTTCTCTTTTTATTCATGGCTTCCTCAAAACACTCTTTTTATTACCACAAGCAACCTCCTAAGGCCACTAGTCATGTGGTCCAGCAAGGTACAACTTTCCATGTTGATAGTCAAAATCATTGGATCCTTGATTCTGGAGCCTCTGATCATATGACAGGTAATCTTGGCTTGTTTTGTTCATACACTCCATATTCTGAACCTTCTCGGGTCAAGATCGCCAATGGCAGTTTTTCCCAGATTGCGGGACACGGAACCATTAAACTTTCTGAGCTGATTACTTTGACATCAGTTCTTTATGTTCCTTCTCTGACTTGTAATCTCATTTCCATTAGCAAGCTCACCTCTGAGTTGCATTGCTTTGCTAAATTCTTTCCACATGGTTGTGTTTTTCAGGAACAGGACTCGGAGAGGATGATTGGCAGTGCTAGAGAGGATGGTGGACTTTACTACTTTGAGGAGGATGTGACTCATGAAGCTGTTTTCGTAGAAAAAAACTCTATGTTTCCTTTTGATTCATGTAATGATGTTATGCTGTGGCATCGTAGGCTAGGCCATCCAAATTTTATTTATCTTCAAAAGTTGTTGCCAAACTTATTTATTAATAAAAGTCCAAGTTTGTTTTCTTGTGATATTTGTCAACTTGCCAAGCATACTCGTGCTCATTATCCTTCTAAAGTTCACCATGACTCTTCCCCATTTTCCTTAATTCATAGCGACATATGGGGTCCAGCCCGTGTTAAAAATATTTCAGGTACTCGATGGTTCATTACCTTCATTGATGACCATTCTCGAGTTTGTTGGGTGTATCTTCTAAAGGATAAGTCCGATGCTGCATCCGTGTTTAAAAAATTTCATGCCATGGTTCAAACCCAATTCCAAGTTGCTATACAAATTCTTCGTACAGATAATGGCAAAGAGTATTTTAACTCTATTCTTGGAGAATATCTTTCCCAACATGGCATCCTTCACCAAAGCTCGTGTCCTGACACACCCCAACAAAACGGAGTCGCGGAAAGAAAAAACCGACATCTCCTTGAAGTTGCTCGGGCTCTTATGTTTACCACGAGTGTTCCTAAATATCTTTGGGGAGAGGCAGTTCTCACTGCCTCGTATCTGATAAATCGAATGCCATCTCGCATTCTGAAATTTCAGTCTCCTCTTTCTAGTCTTGTTCGTATCTTCCCTTCCTTCCGAGGTGTCTCCTCCTTACCTCTCAAGTTATTTGGTTGTGTTGTATTTGTCCATATTCCCTCCCATCAACGGTCTAAGCTTGATCCTAAGTCTCTCCAGTGTGTCTTTATTGGTTATTCTCCTACTCAACGTGGCTATAAGTGTTATTCACCCTCTCTTCGTAAGGTCTTTGTCTCTATGGATGTCACTTTTTCTGAGAATGACCCTTTCTTCCCCTCGACTTCTCTTCAGGGGGAGTCTATAGGAGTAGATGAAGATCAGTCATGGGAACCTATTAATGCCACAGTATTACCTCTACTTTTGGAAACAGGGGGAGCTACAGAATCCTCACCATCAGGAGCCTCCTCAAAATGGGGACAAGTTTATAGCAGGCGAAAGCCTCCTCAAAGTGTGAATAACCCAGAGCCTCTACACTGCCAGGATTCTGAACCATGTTCTAGTTCCAGCACCCCAATACTTGAGTGTCATGGTGAAAATGATCTACACTTGCCCATTGCTCTCAGAAAAGGTACTCGATCTTGTACTACTCATCCTATTTCTAATCATATTTCATATGGAAAGTTGTCCCCAGGGTTTCGTGCTTTCAATACTATGTTGGATAGTACAAAGATACCGAGAAATATACATGAGGCTCTCAATGATAAAAAATGGAGGGATGCTGTCTTTGAAGAAATGAATGCTTTAGAAAGAAATGGAACTTGGGAGATAGTGACCCTACCCAAAGGAAAAAAGGCAGTAGGATGCAAATGGGTGTTTACAATAAATTCAATGCAGATAATAGCATCAACAGATACAAGGCAAGATTGGTTGCAAAGGGTTTCACTCAGACTCATGGGATAGATTATCATGAGACTTTTGCTCCGGTTGCTAAAGTCAATACCATCCGAGTTCTCTTATCTCTTGCTGCCAATCTAGATTGGCCTCTGCAACAGTTAGATGTGAAGAATGCATTCCTAAATGGTGACTTACATGAAGAAGTCTATATGGATCCTCCACCTGGTTTTGAAAAGGGAAATGGATCAGTGTGTAAACTAAAAAAGTCTCTATATGGATTGAAATAGTCTCCCAGAGAATGGTTCGACAAATTCACACAAGCAGTCAAAAGAAGAGGCTTCATTCAAGCACAGACTGATCATACTCTCTTCCACAAACACTCTAAGGATGGTAAAATTGCTATTCTTATTGTATATGTAGATGATATAATTCTTACAGGTGATGATATTGAGGAATTGAACACCTTGAAGAAATTTCTAGCAGCTCAATTTGAACTCAAAGACCTTGGCACTCTCAAATATTTCCTTGGTATGGAAGTTGCTAGGAGCAAAACAGGTATCACTCTAACACAAAAGAAATATGTTCTAGATCTTTTATTGGAAACAGGAATGTTAGGGTGTAAACCTGCTGAGACACCTGTGGAACCTAATACCAAGTTAGGTATTGAAGATGGGAATGAGGTGGATAAAGAACAATATCAGCGATTGGTTGGTAAACTAATCTACTTATCTCATACGCGTCCTGACATTGCCTTTGCGGTGAGTATGATTAGTCAATTCATGCACTCACCCAAGGAGAAGCATCTTAGTGCAGTCTATAGGGTGCTTAGATACCTCAAGAATACTCCAGGAAGAGGATTATTCTTTAAAAAGGGGTATAAAAGGACAATTGAAATCTACACTGATGCAGATTGGGCAGGCTCATCAGTAGACAGAAGATCTACCTCAGGCTATTGCACCTATGTGTGGGGAAATCTTGTTACTTGGAGAAGCAAAAAGCAAACAGTGGTTGCAAGAAGTAGTGCTGAAGCAGAATTTCGAGCTTTAGCTCATGGAGTTTGTGAAGGAATCTGGTTGAGAAGACTTCTTCAAGAGTTGAAGATTTCATATTCCCTACCAATAAAACTATATTGTGACAACAAGGCAGCTGTTAGCATTGCTCAAAATCCTGTGCATCATGATCGAACAAAGCACGTGGAAGTTGATCGTCACTTCATCAAAGAAAAATTAGATGATGGAAGTGTGCATTTGATATATGTTCCAACCAAAGAGCAAACGGCAGATGTCCTTACCAAGGGCCTACACCGTCCAGCATTCGAAGACTTGATTGGCAAGTTGGTTATGATCAATATTTACCTCCCAACTTGAGGGGGAGTGTAGAAAATTAGAATTCAAACATGTTTCCGTTTTTATTTCCTATTAATTAGGATTGATTATGATTGATTATGATTGATTAGGATTAATTGTGATTGATTAGAATTGATTGTGATTAGGATTGTGATAGGATTGATTAGTCATCGCTTAGTCATTCTTAGCGATTCTTTCTTGTATAAATACTCACTCATGTAATTTATTCAATATCAATATACAAAAACTTCTTTTCAATATATATATATATATATATATATATATATATATATATATATATATATATATATTATAAAAAAGTGGATGACACTAATGAATAGTTAGTTGATCAACCAGTTGTGGGCTGGTGATTTGGATATCTATTGTGACACTGAAAAATCCAGGGTTCCCAAACTTAAAGCTCCTCCTCCTGCTTCCATTGCCCCTCTACAAATTACTGTTGTGCCTCATCAAACTGCACCTTCTGATCCTTCTCAAAATGACCATGATGTCTAAAATCCTCCAAGGTATCTTAATCTATGTCAGTACTATCTATATGCCTTATCCATTTGCACCCATTAACGCAAAATTAATGTTATATTAGCAACCTAGTAGTGACTGTTCTTTATATTAGTTTATGATAATATGTAAGAAAGAATGTTGGATTAAGAAGTTACGTTAGATTTCTATTATATGTAAATTATTAGTTACCCAGAGGAAGTTTCTTCATTACTCTAACTCTATTACACTTAGGGTGTGTTTGGTACAAGAGAAATTTTTTGGAGACCGGGAATCATGATTAATAGGAATACAGTAGAAATTGAGTTTACTTGGAATCTTACGAAAGAGGTGTTTGGTTCGCCAAAATATTACCGGAAATATTGGGTAAAAATTACTGATTCCATATTTGGTTTAGAACGAAATATGACTTGGAATATGAGGTATTTTACAAAAATAACCACAAACTATTTTTACTTTTGTAATTGATAGATTGGGTCTAGATTTTTATGTGTATTGGGGTATTTTTGTCTCAAAATTTATTGTTGTGCTTTCCCTTTACTTGGTATTCTGATTGGTATTCCGAATTACCATATTATTTTTGGTAATCTGAATAGTGACTTTTCTTTATAAATCAAATTACCGGTAATCCTTGGATATCCGGGAATCGTAATTTATTCCTTCTACCAAACGTGGTAATTACATTTACCAAAGAAGGATTACCGGTAATCCTCTTCAAAAACTTGAAACAAACACCCCCTTAGGATATATATTACACATTGTTGTTATTTTTTTTTTGTCAATGTTGCATAATGGGAGCTGATGACCCTCTCCTCCCTAGTAATGGTGAGATTTGATCCCAGATACAATAGACTTAACCAGCTGTGTTTGGATATATCACTTTTGGTTAACAACTTATGAACAATTTTGGCTGATTGTGTTGATGTAACATTCTCAGCCTTTTAGACCAATTACAATTCTTTGTCATTGTCTACCAAACTAGCAAGGCAACCTTGCAACTTAGAAATTAGGTAAAATTAAGCAGAACTGGACTGAACTAACACTTAGAATAAACTAATAGGTCCTTGAAATTATTGCTACACGATGTGGAAAAATTATGATGAAAGGCCATATTTTCAATTTTTGTTCATTATCTGATCTTGTTTTATTGGTCTTCTCATGTACTGTGTCAAATATTTTAACAAAATGCTTCGTAAGTCCTTTTTTTTTCCTCCTTCTTGAAAGGCCAATTTAGTAGATGCAAGATACTGCTTCTCCTTAACTAGAGAGATGTCAACCATGTTATGGTCTCAGGTATCACCACTTTATTGCTTGTGCTAAAATCCTATACCTTTATCTTAGGAAAACAACATCTGCACACTATTTCTTTACACCTTAGAGAGAGTATGTTATGATGTGTATTTCTCTTATTTTATTAACAAAAATGGTTTTTTTGATATGATAGGTGCCAAAAGAGATACGTGGCTTAGAAGTTGTGATGCCCCAAACTGAGATTCCAGAATGGTTTAACTTTAGAGGCAATGAAGGGAGTCCTCGTTTCTGGGCTCATGGGAAGTCCAAGTTCCCCATTGTTGCTTTAGCGTTGGTCTTTCAGGGTGTGAATGAAATGGCAAACCAATCTCGCTGGCAACTTGTTCAGCTCCGCTTGGTTATCAATTTTTAACACTTGTCATGGGACATTTATGCCATATGCGCTAAGCTTGTTAAAAAGATAACTATAAGTCTAATTAGGATTAGAATTTCTTTTCAGGATTTTAACATGCTTGTAAAATACTTGCATCTGCTGGGATGCATCCCTCAAAATTTTAGCCTCAGATCATGACAAGCTTCTGAAAAAAGTTATCAAAGAATATTCTATGATCATTAAGGATCTTATCAAATATTTGTCTTTGTCCATCTTTATAGTTACAAGGATACGAGGCTAAGTCATCAATGGAAGACATAATTAAAAAAATGGAAAGAGAGATTTGAGTAAGTTGTTAGAAATTTTTATAATAATTGTGGGCTTGAATCAATTGTAATTTTTCTTGTTTTTAATAAAAATAGGCTAAGTCATGATCCATATAGGGGTGCATTATATAGCCCAGTTAATTAGTGATCCTTTTGATTTGGGCTTGAATATCTATAAACTAATTAGTGTGGGTAATAGTATAGGCCTAACCCATAGGCCCATGATGGAAAGGGGACTAGGGTTAATAAATTAGCTAAGTTTCCTTTGCATTCACACTGTGTTGAAAAATCGTCACTCCACAGCTCGCCCCATCGAAGGTTGTGATCAGGGAGTGGTGTAAATTGCAGAGGAAGATCCTGGTCTTTCCATTGTAAGAGTATCAGAGGAAACAAGAAGTCTTTCAGAAATCAAGAATCATGTCTTCAACAAGTAAGTCTAAATCTTTTGGTGTTCTAACGTCATATAATCTTGCTTCATGAAATTTCTTACATTTGGTATCAGAGCCTAAATTATATGATTTAGGACCCAATTGTTTATTATTGACATGATTGTATCTTTTGCATTTGAAACTTCTTGCCTATTTTGTTCTTGAACATTCAATTTTTTTTAATACTTTTTTTAATATAAAAGAAATTATTCTCAATTACCTTGGGGGATTTTACAGAATAAATATTAAGAGTTTGATTGATTGATACTAAATCTCTAATTTTTTGTCCACTGCAAAGCAACCAGAGTTTAAAAAATAAATCAAGGTTTTTGAAATTCCAAATTTTAAACTAGTCTAAAAAAATGGGTTTTCATATGTTCTTATCGTGGGTGATGTTTTGAACGAGGGCTGCACGATAGAATTGATAGGTTTATTATTTAAAATAAAAAAAAGTTAGCAAGATATTTTTTTTTCAACAATACATTTGTACGATTTCAATTTTGAAATATCAAACTTTTCATTTATTATAATAATGTTAATTGTTTCTTGTTTGGGATCTATTCTGGAAACTAAGTTATATAAGATATAGACATAGTCATGACAAAATAAATGAATGGGTAACAATGGGCCTTATGATTTTAAGGCATACGAAGATCAATTTTAATGGCTGCGACCTGCGATTTGGATACGCTTGTTGTATTAGTATGTTTTTTGGTTATTAATCTAATAGATAATATTGATGGAGTGTTTTGGTTTTGAATTATGCTATGGTTGTCTTATAATTCATTCGAGCTACCACATCTTCTTCAAGTTAATGAACAGTTTTTGAACGTAATTGTTCGCCTTGCTAATGAGTATGTAAGAAATGCGCAAGTATACGAAGCCACAAGTAATATAAAGTGTATTTAAAATCTCAATATCGTTCCCACAAGGATCTTTTGGCGAAAAAGTACATAAGAAAAATTGTAATTGCTCAAAACTAAATTCTAAAAAAAAATAAAATTAATTTGGTTAAAGAGAAAATAAGAGAAATTAGAGGTTAATGTTCACTTAAAGGTTTCAAATTAAAAATTGATGTTACTTGGTCACTACACGAAATAAAAAGGAATAAAATAAGTTGAGAAAATTATTTTTGGCATTTTTTATTTGATGATATTTTCACAGAATTATGAAGAACTTGAGTGAATGAAGAAAAATCAGAATGGACAATATTTTAAGAATTCTAATTAGAAAAATGGGTTGAGCTTTGATTCCTTCCCCACAGATTCTGATGCACACTTACTTAACAAAATTCTTTAATAATTATTTTTACGTTGGCAGACTAATGTAGACTTTTAATCCCTAAAAATCTTTTTCTTTTTTTCCCAAATAACTTTTCCCTAAGCTATTGAGATTAAGAGCTTGAAGCTCAGGTCCTTATAACCACATGGAGGAGTAAAAATCTGGTAAGAAATACTCCCTCAATTAATTCCTTATTTGAGTTCATGAGTTCAATTCATTTTTCAGATAAGTTTATTTTCCAATAATCATCTCCTAAGCAAACACCATCCATTCGGCTGAAATAGAAGAACGTTCAAATATACAAAACAGAGTTAAACTATGAAAATTAAACATTCATATCAGAAATGTAATTAGCATCATTCACTGTAGTTGGGGTCTCAAACACCCAACTTGTGGAGAGTTTAGCTCAAATCCATAAGGATTGAGATTAATACATGAATGAATGAAAACTCAAAGAAAACAAAATGTGCAGAAACCTCAAGTACAGTACGAATCCTATTCAACGAAATAGCCTCAGCACAGCACTTGCATTAACCAAATACAACGAAGACAAACAAATCCAAAATACTACCAGTCGAGAACTCAGAAAAATAACAAAATAAAAAGATAATGCAGAAGAGGATGTGAGAGAGAGAGCTTACAAAATTTCCTCGCTTTATATACTCGATCATCTTCGCATGCGTTGGCTTTGGGCCCTTTCACCAACAATCTCCACACACACTCCTTGCTGCGAGTCACACGAGCAATCTTTACTTCACGCTCTCCTCAAGTGCTCCACAAAAAGGAATCCCTCTTCACACGCTTGTATCAACCCACAAGTCACTATTCGGTTAGAGTCAGGCTTCTAGAACAATGGTCAAGTGAATGTCTACAAAGACAGGGCTTGTATGGTGTTGGGTGGTTTGCTGATGGTGGAAATTATATATTCTGATAACGGACGTTCCTCTGTTCTAAGTTAGCAACAGAAAATAGAGTTGTTCCCTTACTTCCAACCCAAGTGCGCAAGTGCACGCCTCAAGTAATAATGGGTGTATTAAGGCCCAGATTATCGTTCCCACGAGGATAGAACTCGAAATATTATCTTAAACTATTTTAAAAAGAATGAAAATGAGAAGAAAAGTTAGTGAATTAACTGTCTGGTCAAACGTTCCTTACTGTCTTGACGACATTTCTCAGGAACAGTAAGTTCAGTCTGATGGCAAACAATTGCTCGCTGCGTTATGTATGTGATCCTTCCTGTTTAGAAGAAGGTGTGATAATAATCATTGGAGTTTGATAAATACAAGATTAAACAAAGTAAAAATAAAACAGTAATGATAACTATAATCAAGAGACAACAAAGTGGATGGTTTGAAAAACAGTTTAACAGAAGGAACATATTCACTGCTACATTCTTAAATAGTTATTTCCTCTGTTCAAGACTTAGCACTTTTTGGCTTTGTCCCAGTTTCTTATCTGCCAACTCTGATTCCTCAGCTCATGGACTAGATGGCTCACAAGTGTCCATATTCCTACGGCTCCCTTGACTCCAACAGGTACTTAGTACAGAACCTTAAAATGGACGAAGTGGCCCCTTATTCCTAAGGTGACCAATAGTGTTTTTGCCATAACACTACCTTCCCCCAATGGCTAAGCTGTCTGAAATCACTTCCTTAAGGAAGTTCCTTTCTCAGTATGTGTTCAATTTCCATTGATACACAATGAATATAGCTTACTTAGCCAAAGAAATACAAAAAGCTTCAGTCAAGAGTTTTGGAAATAATTCTTTAAGAGTTTTACAGCTTATCCGTTCCACAGATAGTTCAGCCCATGGCTGATATTTTAAACATAATTATTCTAAATTGAAATTCCATAGACCCGAGACTCAGTTCAGAGATAACGATTGAAAAGAAAAGAAGAAACACTTATATTGAAATCAAACAAGAAAGATTACAACAAAGTATAAAATGGAGAAGATGGTTTGATGCTCGTGGGGAGTCTTAATGGATGATACAGAGTAAGGAAGAAGGGTTGTCACTTAACTACAGTTAAAACTATACAAAACTAAACTACTAACTAATACTAGGTGATCTCTTCTTTTAGGACTTCAATCCCTCCATAATTCGATGATGATTTGTGTTTGGGACGTCCTATTTATAGGCAAAAGAGAGAGTGACAGTCTTGTAAATCCTTTGGAGTTGGTTTCTTGAATGAAGGGACGGGGCGGTGGCAACAGTGTTTAGAAGCTTGCAAATTGCTTGATGGGATAATTTTTGTTGATGATTAGCCATTTTCTTGCAGTCCCCCATGCCTTGCTTTCTTCCTAGCCAATGAGAACTCTTGATTCTCTGTTCACGTTTCCTGGTGCTTAAGTGGTGCACCGCCTTGCTTTTTAGAAGACGTTGTTTTCACGTTTCCTGCAAAATGAGCAGAGCATTAAATGAAGGTAGCATGTGTAATAAATGCTCTCACTCCGTTCCCCTTTTAATATGTTTTCAAATGAATACGTCATCATACGTTCCCCCACTGTGTTTTTGTCACAAATGTGTAAAACAAGTGATTTTCATGCTAAGTTGCTCATCATATGAGGGAACGTATGGTATTTTGCCATCAAAATGGGCTTAGATGGGAACGAATTTACGTCCCATCAAACACCCCAAAACTAAACTGTTGGTTGTCCTCAAACTACTCATAAATATTGTATCAGGCTGCTCAGTTTCAAAGAATAGCTCAACAGAAAGAAACTTGAGCCAGTGAGCAATCCTAAGCTTTTCAAAAAAATGAGCTACTCTCCATAGGTAAAAAGTAAGAAGAATTTGTTCCAAGGTAAGTGAAGGATGCTGATCTTCTGTCTCACTATCACTCAGGGTTTGGTGTTTTCTCTGTCCATTCCTGGATGTGATTCTTCAGAACTTGCCTTTCTGCTGCTTTCCTATGGAGTGTAGATGTCTCTCATTCCCAAAGATCTTTTGGTAGGTGGGTATATGGAGGTGTGGAGGAATGGTGGTCTTAAGTATGGGGTCAAGGAACGTTTATTTTTGTGCTTTTGAATTGGACTCTTTCTGTTTGTGGGGACACCTTTTTTTTGTACCTTTTCTTCCATTGAAGGAAGGTTTTCTGGTATTTTCTTTTGAATGGATGTCCCCCTTTTTCTTTGTTTTTCTACTTCTGTCCTTTTTGTTCATTTCTGGATCAGTTCTTTGTCCCTTTGTGATTGA